TATATATGAGAAATGCATATATAAAAGAAGAATCGAGGAGTATAAACAGTTATTACTGATATGGCGTGTGATAAGTGAACGTCTAATTCGGGATGCTGAAGGTATCATCAATCAGCTAAGTGACAAACTTTATAATTGTATTCTTTATATATATATATATATATATATATATATGAAGGACAAGACAATAGGAAAACTATAGTTAGTTGAGCCGACGCGTTTCGTCATTCGACGTAGTTTTTCAAGATAAATGTTATCCTTTTATTTTGCAAAAAGGAAAAAAGAAAGAAAAAAAGAAACAAATTTCTTGAATTCGAATACGAGATGGATGTTTGTCTTATACATTTCCAAAAGATTCTTCAACATATTTGTTGTTCATGTTGGCTTGGGAAATTAGTAATTCTTTCAGGAAAGGTGACATTGGGAAAAAAACCGGGACGTAGATTGATATTTTGATAATATTAAATGTATAATACAAACATCCATCCATATTTCAATCCAAGAAAATTTTCTTCCTTTTAAATTCTTTTTTCTTCATATGCTAAATGACGTAATCTAAGGACTAAATGTCTAAACATTTCGGTTTACCTGTTATTGAGCTTCCTTAAATTTAATCATTTCCTTTCAAAGATACTAAAGGACGTAGTCTAGGATCTACCACATCAATCTCTTTAATTAACTCAATGAATATTCATGAGCGTTCTTAAATTTGTAAAATTTTGTGTTACTGTCAAATATATACTTGCTGCAAAATAAAATCACCACATTTGTTTGATAAAATCCGTGGAATGAGGAAACGAGTCGACTAAACTAAGAAAAGTTTCCTTTCGTCTTTTCATTCATTTCGTCTATTCTACAGATATACTCCATCTGAGAATATTTACGTATATATAAGTGGACAGTGAATTCAACACCCAGACACGACAATCTGTTTCATGCGACCTTCAGGACATACGTTTTGGATGAAACAGGCTGTCACGTCTGGGTGTTGATTTAAGGTTGACTTTTATATTTACATAGCCTCTATCTCTGAAATTAAAATAACGTACCTTAAAACTATATTTTATCATATATATACATTTATATATATATATATATATATATGGCGTGCAATGGGTCGCCATTTCGTTTTTTTTAATTTCGCACATGTGCGTTGTTTGTTTTGGAATTGTCAACTGAACCTTATAGTATCGTTAGTTGGGCACCGTCCGTGAGAAAATGACAACCATGACGCAATTCACTCCACTAGATATTTGGACACAGCATGCTGTACTGCTTGGTCTTCACACCGGAAGCTCGAGTACGAACATTTTAGATTGTTTGGGTGCCAATCTGAGGACAGTGCAGAGGATTCAGAAAGAATCAGAGGATTCATCTGAGTCTAATGGTGAATACGAAGGTGTTTGGAGTGACCACTAGTGATGGCCCTTCATGTTCCCGCATGGCCTCAGACTCAGTTCTAAATCAAGTGTTTTGGGAATGTAGAGCTGTTTTGATTCAAGAGGGTGGCTTCTAGAAGGCCCTATGTCTAGCAACAGCATCCTGCACCATGCCAAACATGCACGAGAACCAAGTCATGGCTGTCAAACAATTTCAGCGTCCACATCAGCCCTTATATCTAGCCGCCTCAAACTGCAACCCCCTTGATTATTATGTGACCAACAAAACTCCTTGTAACACCAAAGATTAAATGAAAGCAAGGATTATGTTAATATTCACCAACTTGAACAAGGAGACTGTCCAGATGAGATGCAGGAGATTCCGAAATCGTCTGGAGGCCGGAGTTTTATTGAATTGATTTAGTATTACTATTTCATGATATTATTTGTGTAATTTTGGTAAATATATCTGTTAAAATGAGATGCCATTTTATTTTCATTTTTACCCCATTTATACGACAATTTATCCATCGAACCCAATTTATCTATCTATTTCTCTATCTCTCGAACTTTCGCTCTCTCTTTATATATCTCTCCATATATATATATATATATATATATATATAACATGCCACTCGTATTCGAGGATACTCGTCTAGTAAGGCGGTTAACCAATTCCTAATTCAGACGCTCGCTCAGGCACATTTATTTAAAACCCACTGTGGTTTATACTGCGACTACGCTGAGCAGAGAGGGAGTGATCAACAATCTAACAAGGCCAGCACAATCAAACCCTCGGTCACAATAACTGGTAACTTCGTGCTACCACAGCTATCGACGGTCCCCCAAGTGTTCCGTCTACCCAATTTCTCTCACATGTCTTTGGACAACCCGTGGTATCGTTTTCAAAGGTGCCGCACGCTGGGATCACCCACTCGAAACCTATAGCATCAGGTAGCCTTCTTCCTGACAAACATATATATATATATATATATATATATATATATATATATATATATATATGAAGAATTAAATAAACACATTGAAAATCTGGAGCATCAATTCACAACACGTGGCTATAAACAACACCTAATCAGGGAACAAATAAATAAAAGCAATTTCCACACCTAGAGAAGACACCCTAATATACAAGATTAAAAATAAATCTAGCCGCATCCCTCTAGTAACCACTTTCAATCCCACTCTGCCTCCACTATCCCAAATAATCAAACGTCGCTGGGAAATACTACATCTCAAACCAGACCTAAAAAACTGCTTTAAGGAACCCGGCCTTCTTGCATATCGTAGACCTAAGAACCTAAAAAAAGAAATCATAGGTAGTAACCACATTTCAGGGGACAAGGTAATCCGTAAGAAACTGAGAACAAAAACAACAGGATTTTCCCAACCATGTAACAACAAAAGAAGTTTATGTTGCAACCATATTAAAAACACGAATTCATTCACTAGCTCAATCACTAAATCTACTTTCAAAATCTACCACGATTCTAACTGTAGAAGTCAAAACATAATTTACCTCCTAGAATGCACACTATGCCAGAAACAATATGTAGGAAAATCTGAATGGCCCTTTAACTACAGAATTAATAATTATCGTAAGCGAATTAAATCGACTCCCTATGAACAGTTATTACCCGTAGAACAACATTTCCGCCTAGAAAAACACGATTTCAAAACCCATGCCAGATTCACTATAATTGAGAGAATAGAAAAGTTCAGAGCAGATAACATTAGAAAGATCTTAGAGTCCCATGAAAATAAGTGGATACAACGTCTAAAAACACAATAGCCAGCCGGGCTAAATCATAAATTTAACAACATATAATAGTAACAATCAACAAATCAAAACCTACCCACATTTCTCACCCACACAAGACAGACATGCTTAAGGAGGAATGGAGGCCTCACACTTATACACTCACCCACACGATTATACATACGTACGCACACCATACTCACTCACCCCCTAATGAGCCAAATGATAACACACACCTACAGCAATACACACGCTTACATATCATACTCACTCACTCCCTAAGAACCAAATAACACACACACACAAACACTAAACAGAGACACATCCCTCACCAGGTCCAATAAAACTGTCAAACTGACCAGAGAATTCAGGATAAAATGTATCCATCCAGTTCTTATCTCAAATAACAACTTAAAAGAGACTGTTTGACCAACACAAGGAATGTTAAAAGATTCATGTGAAAAAGATAAAAAATAAAAAAACAAATGAAAACTACAGACAAAAGTTCATTTTCTCCAACAAAAGACATTCATTTCAGTAGTTCCTTGCCAACAGCAAGCAGAAATATTTCGCCTCCCGATGATGGCCATTTCGGTCGAAACTAGTCGAGGAATCTAAATGGAATAATAATAATAAAAAAAAAAACGAAAGAATATTAATCTACAACCCAGTGTGTCTAATGATTTTAATTTTTAATTTTTAATTTTTTAATTTTCTTATTCAAAAAAAAAAATATATATATATATATATATATATACATATATATATATATATATATTAATAATAATTAAATTGATCCTATATATATATATATATATATATATATATATATATATAATTAATTGATTTAAAATATGGTTTTTAAATCAATTAATTTATAATATTAATGCTCTGTAAATTTACATAGAGCACTATTTTGTAAAAATAAAAATATCTATAAGAACACCTGATTATATATCTTACTTTTCTTTCTTTAGATATATATATATATATATATATATATATATATATATATATATATATATATATATATATATATATATATATATATAATGGACTCTCGTCGGTTTTGACGTATGAGGATCTGACAGCTTATTGATTCAGTTAGGAAAGTTTGTGCGATAATCTTAAGTGGAATTTAAGACCCGCTAATGATTTACAAAGAAGGCCACATATGGAGCAAGTGTGAGGATTGTGAGATAAGATCACTGTTAGATTGGCTGACCTTTTAGATCTTGAAGATGATTCAGACAAGCATATTGAAAATTTCTGAGTCAACTAAAACACGTTGATCTCCATTCTACGCGCTCCAAGGCTAAGCGCTCAAGGGTGTTATGTGGTATTTTGGATAAGAACGAATCAAGGTAAACCGCCAGAAAACCCACACAAGTGATTTGATTAAAGTGGTGAAGGCTTGTGCAGAACCATCCACACTTTTCGCAAGTATTGATACGCTTAATCGGTGCAAATATATGTCACAGACGAAGCAGACACACACACACACACACACACACACACACACACACACATATATATATATATATATATATATATATATATATATATATATATATATATATATCAGAACAATTTAGTTATTTACTACTCAAAGAAATATTAGTGGATCCGGATGCAGCATAGAATTTCTAACATAGTGAGAGTCGTATTAATGTATTTGGGGGAAAATTGAATTTACGCTGTTTTAAGCCAAAAAGAAATATTCTGGCAGAAAAATTTGAACACTGATCGGGAAAAAGATGTTTAGAAAAAGCCTTTCTGAAGGAAAATCGAAAATAACTAAAATAAAAAATGAAAAGAAAATGTAGAAGAATAAAAATAAAGGATTATACAAAAAAGAAACAAGTGAAGCAAAACACTAAGAATGAAATGACTAAGATAGATAGATAGATAGATAGATAGATAGATAGATAGATAGATAGATAGATAGATAGGTTGTGAAATAGTTTAAAATGTAAATTAAATAGAACACTAGAGTTATAAGAAAGAATTGCTGAAAATGTCACAAATTTTAGAAAGAAAGAAAGAAAGAAAGAAAGAAAGAAAGAAAGAAAGAAAGAAAAAGAAAGAGACTTTTGATAAGTGTTGGTCTGCGCCGATGACGTCGTGCGATGTTCAGTGCCCGTCTTAGTGTTAGGCTTCACTTCCGGGACACGTGACACTTGTCCATCCTACTGAATGGTAAGAAGATGAAGATAGCGGAAGTAGAACGAAACTCTCACTAATAAATCTTTTGCTCTTTTTTCACTCGTTCACTTCACCCTCCGCTTTCACTCGAGGTCAGCCGTGGTGTAGATTGCAAAAGCAGACATTTTCCAAGTGAACAAACCGCACCGGAAGTGTGGTGACACTCAAACGGAGCAGGGATATTATTAGTTAACTGCTTTTCGAAGCTGCCTACTTCTGGTCGACGAAACGATTTGAAATGTTCTTTTTAGAACAAGAATCCGTGATATTTAAACATTTTCAAACACAGAACGTCAAATGTTACTCCACTAATCATTCTTGCGATTAAACAGGACTTACTACTACTACTACTAATAATAATAATAATAATAATAATAATAAAGATCTTTAAAATCGAATATTAGTAAATTTCATTTTCAGAATTACATTTAACATTTTTGACAATATCATATCGAATTGTATGCAAACAGCCCCTTACTGATCTTCATTTCTACACTAACACTGTGCAAATTGAATTTACAAGCTATACCTCAGAAAGTAACCGTTCTTTTGCTGTAAACCAAAACTTGTTGGTTGTTTTTCTATTTAATTTCGTTTATCCTAATGAAGGATCACAAAAGTAAAGTACCCTGTAAAAATTGAACGCCTTAAACTATTAAACTAGCTCAACAGTAGATCCCAAAACCTTATTTTCTGAGCTAAAGTGAGCATGTTAGAGATTAATGAATAGTTGCCAGTCACGAGAATCTAAGTGAGAAAACTAAATCGTCAGTAAGAAGATGGAAATAACCACTGCGATATGACTGGCATCCGCTACAAGTAGGCGTCTACAAATGTACGCATTTAAATTCGATATATTTGGGCAGTAATTTTTATTTCAAGCATTATTAAATTTATACGATTTTTTTCTGATATATGGATATCTTTTCACAAAAGTGGTGGTCGTGATTTGATAAATTAACTAAAATTCATGTTACCGAATCCGAGTATTTTGATTCTCGCTAAGCTATTAACAGAAATGTTTTCAATGTCTAACCTGAATGACATTGGAAACAATTTTTTAAGTGTCAAGAGTTGAAGAGAGTTTGAGAGGATTCACTGAGTTTTCTCAACAGGATGAGTATAGAAAAAAAAAGTGAAATCTTTTATTATTTCTTCAAGTTAGTCTCATGCAATACAAATACTTACAAGTATTTATCGCAGCAGGTTACAAGAGGTATCTTGTTTTCGTGTGACTATATCATGTGCGGGTGTGTAATGAATAGCGACTCGGGATGTGAAATCAATGAGCCGAGTTCAATTTCCATTTGAGTTCATTAAATTCACATACTCAGAAATACCCGCGGGAAAAGGTATAAATCCATCTCCTACCAGCTATGGGTTAAATATTAGTACTTGTATCAGAAGAGAAATCATTGTTATTTTGAAAGAAAATGTTAATACCATATTCATTCGAAAACAAAATAGTATCTTTACAATCCAAAATATGATACGGCTTAAAATAATTCAAAAAGTGTTGAAAACATATCATTCAATCCTTGTGACAAAAATGTAAGAAGCTTTTTCTTTCTTCTATGTAATTGTTCTTTTATATTTTCTATTCTTTCTTTTTCGTTTCTTTTTCATTTATTAATTTCAAGTTAATGTCTTCCATTTATATTTACGTCTAAAGAATTCTTGACTTCGTCTTCATAAACTGAACTCTAAATTAAACGCGTTGAACTTGCCATATTCGTTCAGTTTTCCTATAAATTCTCATTATTCACCCTTTGATGTATGATTTCTGTAATGGTAACAATAATGGAGAAATTATTTCCATGTCAAGAAACATTCGGTATTCATTGACTACACATGTCGGAGTTATCTCCTCATTAATTCCCTAATTGTCATTAGGGGTCACTCTCCTTATACTATAAATACTAGGCGATCTCTCTTCTCGTTCTCTTTTTTACTTCTTCATTTCAGCGACTACAATGTAAGCTCACTTAGAAGACCCGCGTCTTCCCATTTGTGGGAGACGCCGTGAACATTATACACATATACGTATATATATATGTATGTACAAACATTCACCAAAATACAAACTCTTTATGTCACACATACACACAAATGTTAATGTATATGTCCATTGTAAAATTGTGTTGTTTAATACATGTATTTGTTTATATATATATATATATCGGTCTTGTTTGTTTGTTTGTTTTCTTTCATCTTCGGTTGGACTAAATCTGAGACCGCCATTTTTCTTGTAGCAAGAAATAAACAGACGTGACGTAAAACACACACAGTATTCTATAGATTCGTATGTTATTCTCAATTGAAATCTATGAAAGATTTTTCTTAAAATAGTTTTACATGAAAAGTCTAATCGCTCTTTCTAACACTGATGGGTGTTTCCTTCCCATCTTTTTGTTTAAGGTCGTGTGGATAGTCGACATCTTGATTAGATGATTACTTTCCCTTCTGGTTACATGTGCTGTTCATTTTAAAAGTTGCTCCCGCTGCTGCTGCTACTCGATGTTTTCAAATTACGTGATTTTTGTCATTTGGTAAAAAGCTCTTTGTACGGCTGTCAAAATCGATTAACATAAGAGAGGAAGAGGATTTAAAGGGAGAGAAGAAATGGAAAGGGTAGGAAAACAAGGGGAGAGGAAGAGGGGAAAGAGATAAAAAGAAAGAAAAAGAATGAGGTGTGAGTCGAGAGGAAAAGTAAATAGTTGGAGTGCAGCATAAAGGGGATAAATGAAAAACGGAGAAAGAAAGAAAGAAAGAAAGAAAGAAAGAAAGAAAGAAAGAAAAGCTAGCCTCAAGAAAAAAAATTGTTTCTGTACTAAACAGGAAATAAACTTTTTATCGTTAGGTTTATCGTGGAGAAACAAATCTCATCAACCCGCTGACAATTCAGTCAAACCCTTCAGTCCTCGACTCTAACCTGTGATTTAAACCTAGAAAACAATCACGCCTTTGTTTATGTGTGTTTGTGAATGTGTGTGTGTGTGTGTGTGTGTGTGTGTGTGTGTGTGCATGCGTGCGCATGTGTGTTTCTATTTTCACTGCCAGCCATCACTGGTGACCTAAGGTCACTCAGTAGAAGAACGTGACTCCACTTGAAGGAGGTCAAGAGGGACTTCAGTTCGCCACACTTGTTGTCTCAACTTGCAGAGTCTACAATAAAGATGACGTCACTTCGTAACTTATTTTCCCAATCTCTCAACCTCTCCTCATTTACATGCCCAGATCCTTTTATCAAAACGATCTCGTGTTTTTTGGCTTTTCTCAATTTATTTGCAAGTTTTGCGTTCTTTAAAATCGTCATTGTCATTGTCATTATCACTTTATTGTTGCAATTGCATGAGTCATTTCTGTTAAAAGCATACAAACAAAAATTATGATAACTCTGACACCAGCTGCAACATCAGTTTCACTATCTATTAAACACACACAATCTCTATGACCTGGCGATTGGGTCTAGCATGAAAAAGAATGTCGCCTTTGACTTCAATCGTCGCTTTTATATATACATAAGCTCTATCTCTGATATTGAGCACTTTATCCCATAAATATAGCACACGTTAAAACTATATTTCTTCATACATATATATATATATACCCACACGAATATACACACTTATACACATCATACTCACTCACTCCCTAATGAGCCAAATGATTACACACACCCATAGTAATATACACGCTTACACACAACATACTAACTCACTCCCTAAGAACCAAATAACACACACACACACACGTAACAGAGACACGTCCCCTTTCCAGGAACCAATAAAACTGTCAAAATGACCAAGGGAATTCAGAGCAACATGAATCCATCCAGCTCTTATCTCAAATAATAACTTAAAAGAGACTGTTTGACCAACACAAACACTGACCAAAATTCATGGTAAAAATATAAAAAAATAAATAAAAAACAAATGAAAACTACAGACAAAAGTTCATTTTCTGCATCAAGACATTCATTTCTGTAGTTCACTGCTACCAGCAAGCAGAATTTTTTTTTTCTCCTGATGATGACCATGTTGGCCGAAACTAGTCAAGGAATCTAACTGAAATAATGATAAAACGAAAGAATATTAATCTACAACCCAGTGTGTCTGAAGATTTTATTTTTTTATTGTTCAATATATATATATATATATATATATATATATATATATATATATATATATATATATATATATATATGTATATATGTATATATAAAGGGTGTATCAAAAATACTTTTACAAAATTTGAGAGCGGCTTACTGACACCTAAACAAGGTAAAATGTCCATATAAATGTATACCCAAAAGGCCATCGTTGTACCTCAACACAGAAACTCTTAACAAATGTTCAAAATGTCCTCTGCTTGCTTCTACACACGCATGCACCGGTCCTATCATTGACTGTCGCACCTTTTTAAATACTCTCACAAGGTGTCGAATGGTTTCGCAGGCCCCAATGACAAGTTGATGAAGCGTCACTGCATTATTAATGCCTGCTGCATAAAACCAATTAATTTAGAAGGTCTATGTATGTATAAATAAAAAGAAAGAACAGTAAGATATATAATCCGGTGTTCTTATTAATGCTCTGTAAATTTACAATGGTTAGAACTGTGTAGCAAAAAAAACATATTTTAAATAAATCAATTTATAATATATATATATATATATATATATATATATATATATATATATATGCATGTATTTAATCAATTAAAGTTGCAAGTTGGTAATGTCTCTATGACACAAGAGATTACTGAGAGTGAAAGAGAATCAAAAGACTTTAGACCAAACGAGAAACCCAATCCTAATGGGCAAACAAGGGACAAATCTCTAATATTGTTCAAAAGTCCGTGGAGGAATCTGAAGCGGACGACAGGCGAATCTATCTACGCTTCTTAATGTACTATTTACTCCTATTATAGAAAGGAACAAAGAAAATAAAATTCAACATTAGCAAAATTTAATTAGCACCTGTCATAGTTTACTTCGTCTTTCATAGTTAGCCAGTATATTTAAGCGTTCTTAAATTTTTAAAAATGAAAACCTAACGATATGTTTACGTAACGTTTATAAATTAAATGCTTGCTGCAAAATAAAATCCTAACATTCGCATTGATAAAGTTCTTCATGGTTCGAAACACGTTGGTAAAGAAAATATTTGTTTTATCTTCATATATATATATATATATATATATATATATATATATATATATATATATATATATATATATATATATATATATTAATATGTAATATGTACTGAGGTAAAATAAAATTGAATCTACATAAATAGCCAGTATAGCCTCCACTAGTCTATACACTCGTATGCTTACGATTACTCAGATGGCTGGCTAATGTCATCCTGTGATATATTATTCCAGGCCTATCACCACCCTTCACGCAATGTCAAAATTATTTTAAATGAACTAACTTTCGTCGACTCATCATATTCCAGTTATTTTCAGTAGAAAAGAAATCTGACGATCATTTGTAGAATATGTTAATTAGTCTGGACATCATTTGGCGATATTATCCCGCTGGAAAAGAACATCGCTTTCCTTTTGCCGGAATGGTGTTAGGAAAAGATAAACCATATTCTGGACATACGTATCGTTATTCAATATTCTCTTGACAATTAACCAAAGAGAATATGAAGAGTAATTGATGGCACTCTGCATCATGATATCATGAGTTAGGCTTGTTTTTTCGTGGGAAATATACTTCGTCAGGTGTTACTCTTTGGTTCTACTTCGTACACGCAAACGACTACAACTTATATGAAAGTAAAACTTACTCCCATCACTGAATGGTGGAATCCTTGTCTGACAAGAATTATCCGTAATTTGTAAAAGTCCATCATTAAAATTAATTGACACAAAATATCTGTTACCTTAAAGAATATTTGTTGCCTAAATACACAGAAGATTTATATATATATATATATATATATATATATATATATATATATGTGTGTGTGTGTGTGTGTGTGTGTATTATTAGTGTGTGTGTATATATATATATATATATATATATATATATATATATATATTAATTATTTTTTAAAACATGATTCTTTACTACATAAGAGTTCTCATGTTTCAAAAACGTGATCCGAAAACCTCAATATAATTATTAAAATTAAATTGAGTTAAAGTATCAAGCCCTGTTTTATCCTCAAGCGAAAATTTAGGAATAACCAATCTTGAAATTTACGCATCTTTATAAGCATGTTCATTCGCAAAATTAATTACTATGGAAATGGCTAGGGCGACCATTTTGGTAAGGGGCCTAAGAGATAATTTTTATCCGCATATCAGTCACCTTCGGAAAGAGGTCAAGCTGAGATAGGGTGGGGGGCATGCATTTCAAAGCGAATGATGGCATTCATGTGCGTACATCTTCTGGTCAGTCACAGCAAAAGATTACTTTTGGCACCATAATATGCCGTTAAGAGAATTTTTTTTTTAAAAAAAAATAATTATAATTTAAGCTCTACTTCTGTATGGAGCACTGTTTTTTTTTTAAAAAATAAAGACAAAAATACTAAAGAACTCCGGATTATTTACCTAACGTTTTCTTTCCTATTTTTCTACATATCTGCACACACACACACACACACACACACACACACACACACATATATATATATATTATATCATATATTTCTGAGGTTATCTGACTATGATGCAAATAAACGTCGAAATCAAATACTCATCGCACAATTCTTCATTAATCAAAATTTGATATGTATTTGAAGATGTATTCATAAATACTTCAAACATAATTATTAGTGTATACCCGTATTTGACGCCTGACTCTAATAACCCTTGAAGTTATAAAAATGTTGGATTAAAAATTACTTTATTTTTATGTATAATAATAATAATAATAATAATAATAACACACACGCACGCACGCACACACACACACACACACACACACACACATATATATATATATATATATATATATATATATACTGGGTGTAACAGTCAAACCATTTCAAAAGCATCGGCTAAACTAAGTTTAGTTTCCTTCTTGTCTTTTCATTCATTTTGTCTCTTCTGCAGATTCATTCCGTCTCAGAATATTTATACAGATATAAAGATACATTAAAACACACACACACACACAGAGAGCGAGAGACAGACAGACAGACAGACAGACAGACAGACGTCACACCTCGATTGCATCTCAAAACTCTTTGCCTACGTCCCAACACTGACTAGTTCAATCAAACTCATCATTTGTCTCGACCTACACTGATGATGACAACTTTAGAAAATCGAAAGCATGGAGCATATTTCTTGTACTTTTCTTTCGAAGTTAACCTTGGGACAATTTCTGGCGGGATTTCTTCCTTGTCTGACAAGGATTATTCATAATTTGGTAAAGTCGAACATTCATATTAATTGACAGAATCTATGTGTGTGTGTGTGTGTGTGTAAGAAATAGAGAGAGAGATAGAGAGAGAGAGCGTGTGAGTGTGTGTTTGTGCTTGCGTGTGTATGTGTTTGTGTGTGTGCGCGAGTATGTGTGCGTATAATTATTTTACTTCATTCTATTAATATCGATCTTCTTGTCTGTCAATCTATTTCTATCTATCAATCAAAAAAGACATTCACATATCAAAATTCTTAAATCACCATGCTTTCTTTTCTATTCCTTTTCTTAAATAATCTTTTTCGATTCTAAATATTTTTTCGCAGAATCAAAGGTAGACAAATAAGCACCTGCTCGACAAATTTCTACGAAAACGAAATTTTCTACGTTTGGATAATTTCCAATCA